TGAAAAAGAAGAAGCCAGCAACACCTCTATCAAACAATAGAAAATTCTCACCACTTTTTTTTAATGTTGCGTCAAGCTTGGAGAACTTAAGATTGAATTGCATCTGATGCATGTGTGTGTTCATGTAGAAATCCAAGAACAATATTGTTTTTAACTTAGATCTTTGCTTTGCATTCAGAGATCCTAGTTCAATTTCCTCAATGCTTGTAGCATTCATAACTGATCACACCTCCTACTAAATATTTCTGATTAATAAAATTATATCCATTGTGCATAACTTTTTGAGGTCCACAATACTAAGAACTTTATCCATGTTATTAAAATAAGAATAAAATAAAATGTAGTTCAGTTTATTTAGAATCATAGACATAGTGAATAGTAGAGATGACTTGTATTTATTATATACTAATGTGTTGAACAAATGTGTGCACAAAATTTATACCTGACACAGCAGTCATGCCAGACTATGAAGTGGACAACAAAAGAGAAGCAGCCTTATATTTGATGCAACACCATGGGCTCAGGCATGACGCTAATGTCAGATACTGATAGATACTTGAAAAGACAAACTGACTAGCATCAAACACATGCCCTATAAGCAGCTAAAGCTAGTGTGAAAAACAGCTGTCAGTTCTGACAAAAGTTAAATATGTGGTGTAACAAGTTTAATCAATTTTCAAAGTCCACACCTCACACATGGTGCCTACCAAAATTAGAATTATGTGTACCTCAAAAGTTAGACAGGACATAAAATGACTATATAAACAAAGCACAGTGACATTTTAATTATATCAGCACATATCACTATTCTTACCTCCCAACTTATGACTATTGTTTGTTGCAGGGGGGGGGTATGTGTGTAGTTTTGGGAAGGGTTATGCCCCAGGGGTAATGGACATGGGAGTTGGGAGGGAAGTGCTCAGGGGTAGTGTCCTAGACTAATTAGGTGGTTGCAATATGTTGGAACTAGTAAGTAAAAAGACAAACCATTAGGTGGTTGCAATATGTTGGAACTAGTAAGTAAAAAGACAAACCATTAGGTGGTTGCAATATGTTGGAACTAGTAAGTAAAAAGACAAACCATTAGGTGGTTGCAATATGTTGGAACTAGTAAGTAAAAAGACAAACCATTAGGTGGTTGCAATATGTTGGAACTAGTAAGTAAACAGACAAACCATTAGGTGGTTGCAATATGTTGGATCTGAGTAGCCTCCCACCGCCAGGTGTTTTGGTGTGATTTAGAACGCCAAACAATGTGTGTTGACTCATGGGATTTTTTAAGTTTTGCAGTAGTTCTAGATTTCGTACTGTAGTTGTGTCTAGATATTTTTAAGAATATAATTAAAACAATGCATTAAGAATATACTTAAGAGATTGAAATATGGCTGATATAAAAAATATTTGAGCAGAATGTAAGCTTAATAAACTGGAGTAGATAAAGTGTATACATAGAGCAACTCTAACTTGTTTACTAGATTTACTAAGATGTCATCTTCTTTTAGAATTGTATATTAATGATAAGTTTTAGTTTATTTACTGAATGTCATGTTACCAGATATAGCTAAATAAAGTTAAAATTTTATAGAAGTGTAACAAGATCAAATGTATGTTGTATCAAGTCAACAATTATGCATGCCTTAAATGGTGGTGACATTACTTTAAAACAGGGGTCTCCAAACTGCGGCGTGTGATGTCCTCTCATCTGGCCCACTGAAATCTTTTTGTCCACGAAAAAAATGTTTGTTGGAAGTGGCTGAGGAACTTTGCCCAGAAAATTCAAAACAATTTGAAAATGTAACTTTGGGTGCAAATACCATTGCCTGCCGTGTTGCAGACATTGGTGAAAACATCGTGACTCAAACAACAAAAAAATGCAAGCAAGTTTTGACATTTTTCAATTGCAATTGATGAGTCGCTGGGCAGCTGTTCCATCTCTCAACTGCTTGTGTTCATTAGAGGTGTGGATGAAGACATGAACATAACACAAGAGCTGGCTTTGCTACATAGCATGCAAGGCACAGTTACCGGAGAGGATACATGCCATGGTTTTAAAAAAAAAACATTTGCTTATTATAACTTGGACTTTACATGAGTGGCATAAAGAAAGGCTTGGTTGGACAAGCGAATGAGAAAAACATTCTACAACTTATGTTCCTGCACTGTATTATTCACCTGCAAGCTCTGTGTGCTTAATATGTGGGTACTAGCAATGTACTGAATCCTATGATGAAGATGGCAAATTTAATAATGTCACATGGGCTCAAACAGATAGTTTAGAGACATGAGAGATACATGTACCCTATTACAGAGCAGTAAGATGATTAAGTTGTGAGAAAGTTCTGAGTGGAGTACTTAAGGTAAGAATGGAAATTGGTGACTTCCTGGAAAGTAAAGGCAAGCCACAGCCATTAATGTTTGATGAAGAGTGGATATGTAAATTGGCCGTTGCTTCAGTCATAACAAGTCATTTAAATTTTCTGAACCTAAAACTACAAGAGAGGGAGATCTAGTTTCTGATCTATACACCCACCTAAAGGCCTTCAGATCCAAACTTTTCATGTTTTTGGAACAAGTACAGGCCAACAACTTGACGCACTTTCAGCAGTGCAAGGTTTTCATGGCTGAAGCAACAACATTTCCCCCGGGTCATTTCCATGCAATATCATCAAAGATCTTCCAGCAGTTGTTTCAGTAGCGGTATTCTGACTTGGATTCAAAGGCAGTAGAAGTGAGAATGTTTCAAAACCTATTTGAAGTATATGTGGCCAGTTGCCCAGATGAAATGCCACTGGAGGTCATTGTATTGCAAGCAAATGACCTCCTTGAAGACAAGTTCAAAAAAGGGCAGATGGGTTTTGTTTTTGTCCAAGGATGACTTTCTTAATATTACAACTTTTGCATCAAAGCACACTTCAAATTTCAGAACAAAATACCTGTGTAAACAAACATTTTCAAGAATGAAATAGTGAAGAACAATTTGAGAACAAACTGGAACCTCTTGGAGTGTGTTGTTGGCCCCTGACAGTGTTTCTTTCAGACTTTTTCTCTTGGGGGGTCATTTGAAATTTGTATATCTATAATATAAGCGGGCTGGTAGTATTATAGATTTTGGTACCATAAAAGTAAACACATCATATGTGGTGCTTTTTACTTGCATCACAGTGTCTTACTATAAATTAGGGAGTAAGGTTTGTTTATGTAACGACTCTTTTGCATGACGTAAAGAAAATATTAAATACATGCACACTGCTAATACATATAAAACGGATCAATGTCAAATATCATTTTCGTTTAGATTCCTAGAAAAAGTGGATACATTTTAATAATAATAAGGTTGAAAAAACAAATTAATTAAACTGCTTTGTAATTATCCAAGGGAGTTAATTTAAAAATAAATTCAATGCACGCTAATTAAAAAAATGTGAATGCAAATTCTGTAAACCTCCATGAGGGAATTATTGTTGCAATAATATAATTAGCAAAATGTGAATGCAAATCATTCTGATGTGTAAGAGGACATTATTGTTAGAATATTATAATTAGCATAGATTGATAAAAGGCAATCTTTTACTTATTTTTTCCCACGTATTCGCGTCTGTTTGTCTTTCCATCAAATCTTGCGATCGAAATTTCTGGTACTTCCCAGTTAGCTAGCGCGCTGAAATTTTCAGGATAGCTTTGTTTCCGAGGACAATACAATATTCAATTATTATTATTACTAAATTGATCCATGGAAAAATTTTATTGATCATTTTAGACTCCTACTGATTTGTACAAAAAAGGGACAGAACCTAGTAATTGTAATTTGATAAAAACAAGGTTCGGTACTTTCACTCTTCTGGCCTCCTATTGTATGAGCAAAAAACTTTTTAGTTCAATCAGAAAACATGGGTTTTTAAAATTTTTTTAATGATAATTATTATACACTGAACAGACTGTTTACTAATTATTATTTCTATCTTTCGGTCTGCAGACAAGCTGGGGGTTTTATATTCACTAAATTGAATCAGGCTACACTGTGAGCACTATGTGTTTATGTTTGCATTTAAGCTGTGTTTATGTTATGAGTGTTGTGTTTTCATTTGTTTTTTGCATTTGCATTGTGTTTGTATTTGTGTTTTTATTTGCGTTTGTTTTCTCTTTTGTGTTTGTGTGATTTTTTATTTGTGTTTTCTTTGTGTTTAGTTTTGTTCATACCGTGGTGGAGCACGGGTATGCAGCTATTATTTTTATATACATTATATTTTGTTGCAGGGGGGGGGGGGGGGGCTCCGCTACCCCAAAAAGATGCATGGAAAAAACACAGCCCCCCCCCCCCCCCCCCCCCGAACTGATTTTTCATAGTTAATGCAGCCCTCGGGCTGAAAAGTTTGGAGACCTCTGCTTTAAAATAACAAACATCTTAATAATAATAATAACCTCTAACTTTGCTCTTAAAAATAAGAAAATAAACAAAAAAAGTTGCCTTTGTTTAATAAAAGCATTTGTCGCTCATGAAATGTTTTATCTATTTTCTTGTGGATTTTAAAAATTAAAGGGGTAACTTGATATTAAAGTTTTTAAAAACAATTGGTAGGTCCACTTTATGTTTTTGCATTTAGTAAATTCTTAATGAACTAGAACATACAACTAAAAACATTTGTTTTAAAACATTCTTAATTTGTAGTTGGGTCTCAGGCTTGAACCAACCATAATTAACCTTAGTGTTTTTATTTCCATTTTTATTATTGAATTTAGCAGTCTTATTTAATGTATAATTAGATTAAAAAAGAGATACTCTGGCATTGTCTATGGAGATTGATTTATCTGGAAAGTTTGAACAAAATCACTGTATAAAAAATGGGTCAAATCAAATTACAAGATTTTGCCCAAACTCATAGACTGTGTGAGCTAGTTAAAAGCTTATAAAAAGAACTTAATGTAAACCATGTATAAAACTAAGAAAGAATTCTAAAATTGTGTGAATGAACCTATCATTGTTGTATGTTCACATCCTCTGTAGACAGCCTTAAGTGACTTGGGAGCAAAGATTATGTTCTGAATAAATTCAACATACTTGAGAAGAGCACCAGTTGTGGCCAGACAATAGTACCTAAATAACAAGGCAAATAAATTAGACCGGGAAAGGTCAAAGAAATAATGTAAAACGAAATGACATACTGGTGAGACTAAATTAAAGACCTACTTGTTAGAAATTTGAAGTTCAATACTGTGATATTCAGAAGCACAAAGATTCTTTATATAAAACAGGCCTCAAGAAAAAAAGACATAAAAAAATTATGTTAAGACAAACAATTACCTGAAAAAATTATGTTAAGACAATTACCTAAAAACAAGTTAATTAAAAAAGTCTAGTGACATTTATGCGCAATTTCCTTATGTTATCTAAAAATAGCTCTGACGTATAATGCTGGGGTGCGTTCAAGCTAGAAGAACGATCGGTTTGTAGGTGTTTATGTAATTTTAAAATTTGTGACCGAACAAGAGGATATTTTTGAAAACTTTCTTCGGCAATATTGTTCTAAATTATGGCAGGAATCGATTGGTACATGTTTCAAGTCGCTAAGTGGTCTGGTTGCCGAGATATGGGCCAAAAACTGCATTTTTTCGAGGTTTTTTGGCTTTTCCTGGAAATCCATGAAAGAAACCCGGAATTTTTATGGCCTATGTTCATTCTCGTAACTTGCTTAACATAATTGCTTTTGGAACTAGTCATCGATATTGCTTCGTTGAGGAGGAGATACGACTTAAAGCCCGGACACACATTCATACATCCATCCATCCATTCCCAGAAATGACGAGTTAATAAACGCAATTCTCCAGAATGGAAATTGCGCTAAAAACCCTCTTATTTTAAGACCAATATTAAATGAGCTAAAATGTCCCCTTTCAGACCTAATGGAATAGAGTTCATATGTTTCTTGAACTTGACATATGAACTAAGGGGTAGGGTGGTCAGCACAATGGCCAGGGTTAGGGTGGATCAGGCACCCCTCACAGCTGGGTGGTCAACATCTGACATCCTGCAGATTCAAGTCTGGACCGAGATATGAACATGAGACTTTTAGGTTAGCAAATAAGCGTTTGCTAGCCTAATTTGTAAATAGATAAGAGATTAAAATAAAGCTAAAAGGCACCTTTAGCTTCATTATAGTATCTTCTCTGTACTGCAGACTTTGTTACATTCGGGAAATGATTTGTCAACAAACTGAAGAGTTTGCTGTTGGCTCCACTTTCACATAAAGTATTAGGTAAGAGAATCTGTTGATTAATCAAAGTAATTAACACAATATTTTTTTACTTAAACAAAAGTAGGCCTACTTCAGACACCTATTTTGAAATATATGGATCCTTTTTACAAACTTGAATTACCATTACGTTATATGTCAATGAATGTTTTCAATGAATGTTTATATCCAAACAAAACTCCAAAACACTTCTTAGTCTACCATTGATTGCTACAATACGTGATACAATGAACAAAATCTAGGCAGAAATAGTAGGTGCGTAAAATGTGTAGCATTGTTAGATTTTGCTATAAGTATAAGAGGTTTGCTAGAGATTTACACTTAGCCACATTTTACATTTTGTTAGGAAGAGGTTTACTTACATTTTTATAAAGATGTTCAATACATAATATAGCGACCCACACTTTTAGTTTTAGTAATTTTAATAGAAGTTATTAATATATATTTTTAAAAAAAACATTTATTTTCTCCTTTAAAAGCTTGCTATTAAAACGTTTTTATGTTTGTTTTTAACTATTTTATTTTTATTATTTTTTGTTAGACCAAAGGTTTTCTTGGTTGTCTGCCCTGATCAGCAGAAAAGTAAGTGTAGGAAATAATTCATGAGAGTTTTGACTGGGGAATTTTTTAATGCCATGGTTGGTTTGAAAACTAAATGGAGAGTAGGGATTACACAGTTGTTAATTTTTTCTCCTGGTTTTCTAAGAAGTCTTATAATTTTATTAGTCTTTAAATAAAATTTGCTTGTACATAGGTACTTATCAAATTATGCTCAACATATTGCACATTTTCTGATTCCAGGATTTGGAGTAATATATAGATTAATACCAGTATATTTATTAGTAGTATATAGATTGTAAAGAATGTTATTCTAATTGACATCAGCCGAGTTAGGGTAGTGTTTATATTAATGAAGAAATAAAACATTTAACACACTTTTTTTCCATAAAGTAGTAAATGGCTGAGAGGATCAGCCATTGACAAACACATTTATCTTCCTCCATGTTTATTCACTCAAGCAAAAAATGAACAATCCAGAAGTTTGTTCAATCACCTCTATGTTCATTTACCATTTTCCTGGCTTAATCTAAATACATGGACCAAAATTTTTCAGACTTCTTACCTAACAGAGTAGAAATCAATTCTAAATAAATTGACCAAATCTAAGTATTATACTACGGTTGTATTATTCAAATACCTCCATTGGGTTAATATGATGTAATTTAGCTAGTGTCTTGGTATATGTTTGGCTGTCAGAAAACTGTGATAAAACAAGAACAGACTCTTTCAGATCAAGACTTGTGATCCCAACCTCTCCTCTGGCATGACCTCTACCTTCCACCAGGGCTAAATAAAAGAATGCTCTTATCATTCACTTAAAATCAGGTATGATAAATTATAAAATCAAGTACTCCATTAGCATTTAATAAAAGCTGTAGTGATATAGCAAAGTTTCAAACAGAAAGTCAGTATATTAATTAGTGAATATTGAAATTTTATAGTCTCCAATTATCAGAAGTATAAAAGGATAATAACACTAAGTTTATGGTATTACCTATTAAAGATATTTTAAAATTTACCATTTAAGCATTCAAACAAATGTCTACTTCCATCAAAGAAATAATTTTTATCATCAGAAGTAAAATTATTCTAGAATCAACAAGTAAAATTGCTTATATCAGAGAGAAATTATTTATGAAGTGGAATTGCTTTAGCAAATCAACCATCTTATATTCTAGAGTTTGAGATGGAATATTTTATGAAAGATTTGTAATCAACAATAATATTGTTTGGTTTTAAAAATAGTTGTAGGAAGAAGTAGACTAATTTTGTTTTTAAACTGCCAAACACTTTTACAAATTTTTATTTCCTAAAGTCAAAGATAACAAACCTGCAATAGAACTAGAGTAATGATCAATGGACACAGTACTGGATGTTGTGTATGGAGTGTTACTGGCACTGCGCACTCTTGGTGTCCTGGAAGAGCTCGTGCTGGCAGGTGTCCTTTGAGGTAGTGAACTGTTTCTTCTAATAACAGGTGTACTAGCTGGTGAAAGCCTTTCTCCTGTGCTACATACAATGTTTTTGACAGATTAAAAAAAAAGATAAATATTGGGAAACTATTCGAATAAAGTAAAGAAATAGATTGTCAGTAAATTACAACTTTAAGTAATCTACTGTGACATTACTGACAGCTTCACATGTTATTTTTGTTAAAGGGTTATATAAGATCTAAACTCATTACTTCCAATTAATCTGCAAATTATGTTTCAACAGCTGTTATATTCAGAAGCACTTTTATGTAGAAAAAAATTTTTACATTTTATAAAACGACTACTTATTTCATTTGTATTTTAGTTTAAATGTACTGGTACTAATTAAAAGAAATTATTTTCAACATACCTAGGTGTTTTAGAGGGATAGATCGATGAAGATGAATCATCTCCCCTGGCTTCAGCATCCGATGGTGTTTGTAGCAGACCAAACTCTTAATTCAAAATAAAAGTAACTCACTCATTTGCCTAATCCTAGGTAACCAGTCTTTTCAATAATGTACATAATAATAATTAGCGTAATTAGATGTTATAAAACAGCGAGGCAATTAGAACATCCAACATCTACTGTTGTTAACGTTAATCAATAAATTGAATAAATAAATGTCATCATTTTAAAATGATTAATTGAGTGTCGATCTTTTACACAGTATTGATATTTCGTTGTTTTACATAAATGTGCTCATTTATTTTTTAGGATTTTTCACTCAACTCTGTTTTCAGATAGCCATGTCTGATTGGGTGTTTTGTCCTTTATTTTTATGTTCCTGAGATTTATCTATTATTAAGCCTTAACAATGAGGCAACTTTTTTGCACATTACTAGCCTCGGACAATTTTATGCACCTAAAACGATAGATTACCTCCGACGCTAAACTAAAACTACTAAGGTTTTACCAAGATCTAGCTAGATTCTATCTGATCTAGGGTAAAATCACGATATAGCATCGGTTATTATTCAGGAACTGTACAGCAGTAAGAAACAGTAAAACCATGGCATAGTCTGTCGAGCCATTCCGGAAACCAGCGGAAATACTGTAAACCATCATTTATTTGCCACCATAATATTTTTAATACATAGTGTTTAAAAATGTGCAAGGATTGATTTTAGTTGCATTTTAAATACTGTTTTGCTAATTATTTTGTATTTCTAATTAGTAAGTGGCTATTCGGACCTGGGTCCTAATAGCAGCAGAGGCTATTAGGAACGAGGTCCGAATAGCCACTTCCTAAGTTCTTAACTTGTACAACCTGTATTAAAATTATACCTTTTATGTTTATTTTAATTTTTCTTGTGGATTTGCTCGTATTTTGTTGTCTTTTATTGTAACTAGTTATGCTTCGTGGTTGAGTGGAGAACGCAGTACCTCCCGATTCTCTATCAGTTACGGGATCGGAACCTGTCAAGGATCTCCTTTTTGCAAGAAGTAAAGTGTATTTATCTAATTTAATGATCCATTGAGTTGTTTGAATAAGTGTCTTTTTTCAAATTGTTTTTTAAAATAGATTCTATATTTTTTTCTAGGGTTAGGGTTAGGGTATAAAAACATCGTTGCTCCATTGATCGCCCGCTCGCGTTTTCTCATCATTGCGAGAAAAATACAGACACGGTCTAGCCAGGGTCACATTGGTTTAGATGTGAACAGTGTAAGCGTATACCATACGTCATAGCAAGACAATTACTATGAGCTTGTCGAGATTTGTCGTCGTCATAGTCCCCCCCCTCTCCCAACCCAGCAAGAGGGAAAAATGGATTTGGGGTCATTGTGAGTTCAAATGTTATATATTGCTTCTATTAAAGCGTACAACAACCCATGCAAGATATTCGTGTTCAAGACAACAGGCCCGTGAGCTGCAGTCTGCATTTTATATGAGCTATTTTATACAATTATATATATATGTGTATATATATATATATATATATGTATAAAATTGTATTTGGACGGAAAGGCCTATGAAATCAAATTACGTTTAACAGAAGAAAAAAAACCAAAAAACACATTTTTACATGCACGCTCAACATTCGCTTGGCCATACCAGAAGCTCATACCAAAGGCCATAATTATATCATAGTTAATCATAGACGTAACGACACCCGCTAGCATAACATTTGTCAGGAATGATATCGATTATTTATTATTTAAAGCAAAATCTCAATATATCATTTAGAATTACAAGAAGAAAAAAATCACAACAGAAAAGATATATTCTGCATCTTAAAAGAATTTTTGTATATTTAAACTAAGTCTAAATCTTAACATTTCTATTGGCTGGTCCCAATAAGGGCCAATAGCGGCCGCGGTATTAGAGGGTGTGGGGAAATTGCGAGACGCGAAAAGCGAAATGGCGAGGCGGGAAAATGCGAGAAGGTAATGCGAGACATACCTGCGGAATTAAGGGTAAATAGCGAGACACTTAGCGAAAAAAGTTTTTTCCTTTTTTTTTCCATCTTTATTTATTTCAATTATTTTTTTTAATATTTTTAAAATAAACAAGCATTTAACCATACCCTTTAACACGAGTGTTGTATGTTGTTATTTTTTATCTAGATACTAAGAAGATAGATAGATCTATATCTAGATATATCTATTTAAAAATCATAACATCGTTGCTGTGCTACTGTCATCGCCCGCTCTTGTTAGCGAGAGGAAAATCCCGTCTCAGTCGGCATTAATTTAAAAATCTAGCCCGCTCATGTTTATACAAATGTGAGCTAGCTATGTCATTGTAAATTGGTATAATCTTGTCAGCAGGAGAGATATTTTGCAACATCTATTTATGGATTTTTGTACTTGCAAAAAGTGTAAAAGTATAAACAATTCTAAAAAGTGCAATTTATTTTTTTATTAAGTAATTTTAATTACAAACAAAATTTACAAACAAAATCTTCTGAAACAGTCCTCAAACACACCTCGTGACACCATCTTTCACACATAGTACACCCAACCCAGTTCATTAGACTCCCATTTATACATTTTTCTTTTGCTACTTCTTCCAATTCATATTCACAACATTTCACATTCTCATCACAGTTGACCTCCTCGTTCATCCCACAAACAACACTGGCACCCATGTTCTCATTATCATCATCCGCACGCTCAACATCTGTTTTCCGTTTTTTATAATTTGTATTTTTTATCATTTCTGTAATTTTGGCAATGTCTTGCTCATTGTTGTCACCAGCAGTTGAGTTTTTTTAAAACATCGATATTTCCCAAAATCTTGTCTAATTTCGGTCAAAATAGAGTATTTTAATCAATTCCTATTACAATGTATAAAAACAGTTTTCTAAAACGCGAAAAAACGTCTAAAATTCTTTTTCTAACATTGCTTTTTTTTTATAGTGTGACTTCACATCTAACCCCCCCCTCCCCCTCATCACACATCGTCATAAAATTACAGACCCCCCCCCCCCCCCTACGAGTGTGACGTCATTTATGGAAGACCCCAAATAACACCACCACCAAAACCAAAAAATTCAGATAAGTTCAACTTGGTTTTAAAAATATTTGAAGTAGGCCCATAGTTTACGATATAGCACGAGCAACTGATAATATCGGTGACGTCACTTTATTTTGTTGTATCCGATTGATGTAGGCATTTTCTTGTGCTTAGATTTATATGGTAAAAAAAGCTAGAAAAAAATCGTAGGCGGCGGCTATAATACAAAATTTCTATGCAACAATAGAAAATATGTTTGCGGCGGCAGCGCACGGCGATCTTCAAAGACGGTAATCAGGCGGCCTCGGCGTTCCACACAAAAGACAGAAGTTGATCTATCGTCGGCGGTATTTCCGTCGGTTTCGAACAAGGTGGTATTCTAAGTGGACACAAAGGATGAGGGGGGGAGTTGACAAATCATCAGTATGTCTAGCGACGGAAAAATCGGAAGTTTTAACAATGTAAACGAAACGTCTTTGAAGTCTGGACCAAATACCACTGAAAATCGGGTGCGGTAAATTTTTTCGCAGAAATCTTCGCATTTCAACACCACCCAGCGTAAGTATCGGGTTGTGGTAAAATGCGAGACAAAAAAGTCACGTGACCGACCGTTTTCGCGCCCTTCTCGCATTTTCCAGCCTCGCCATTTCGCTTTTCGCGTCTCGCAATTTCCCCACACCCGGTATTAGATATCTATCTACTATATCTAGGACCTGGGTCCCAATAGCTATATCGTGATTTTACCTGATCTAGAAGTAATATAGGTAATCTATCGTTTTGGGTACGTAAAATCGCCCGCGGCTATTTATGTACGAAAACGTTACCTCATTGTCAATGCCTTAATAGAAGTATATTGTCATACTTTTGTGTCAAATATTATAGATAGGCTAAATGAATAATAAACCTAAATCAATGGCTAAATATATCCATATAGGCCAGAAATTAACTTTAAACAGCAGTGTTTGAGAGCAAGATTTGCTATATAAACAGCAGCCATTTGTAAAATAGAGTGGCTTCCCCCTGAATCTGGCGCTAAAAGCTTATAAAAATAAAACTTAGACAAGATGGCTGCTATAGTAAATGAGCATGGTTGCATCTGTTGGAAACATCGCTAGTCTTCATTTATTACGGAAAAGTTTTAATTCAATTGTTTAAAAACAGGTACATAAATGAATCAAGGAAACATTTTTGAATTTTTTAAAACATAAATCCTCCTCAAAATGTGAAATAATTATTAAAATTTAAGGAGTCACCTGTTTTTCACATTACAAATCGCGGGCGATTTTACGTACCCAAAACGATAGATTACCGTAATATAAGACATAAGATTAAAGAAATAATATTAATAAGATTAACATACGATATTTAGGTTTCTGAATCATTTTCACTATCTTTTACTTCTTAGTCCTAGTCCTAGAGTCTAGATCTCTCTAGATCTAGAGATCTAGAATCTAGATCTATTCTAGATTCTAGTCTAGATCTACTTGACACTTGTTCCTTGAGTTGACTACTGACACTGTTGAGAGACTATTGATTGAGGATAACTCAAGACATAGACTCCAGCTCTAGAATCTAGTCTAGATTTCTAGATCTTTTGAAAAAACTAGCAGACGTTAACTTGACTATGACTACTTCAGCAATACAAATGTGTTAAAATCAAGATTTGCGAAAGGAACGGAGTAAATGTAGAAAAAATAAATGAAAATATTTTTAAATTTTTTTTTCTGACATTACTAATCATCATTTTTAAAGGATAATGCATTTTAACGTGAATTTTATTGGCGTCGAGTGAAGTTTACGACAATCAGCGTAATTGTTAATTTTTTTCAGACTGTCGCACACACATACACACAAGTATATATATATATATATATATATATATATATATATATATATATATATATATATATATATATATATATGTTACGGTCAAAGCCCGAAGTGCGGCCAAAGCGCGGATAGGCCGACCAATGCGCGCATTGGCCGGGACGCACTGGACAAAGTCCGAAGCGCTTAAAACTTGACAGCGTATTTTGTACATTGGCTGGCCAATGCGCGCACTGGCCGGGATGTCCTGGCCAATGTTCTATCTAGACTAAGTTGTGATCGCGTTTTCATTATTCTGGGTGCGGTTTCATTGTGAGTAACGTATTGTTTAGCTCTTGTTTGTAAAGCATTCTATATGCAAGGCGACATGGATCAAAAGGCCGTCAGACCATGAGATGAGACAGACACAGCAGATGGCTGCCAAAAGAAAAAATGTAAATCCATGTTAGTTTCCATATATGGGCTACAACTGTATGTGACAGCCTCCTCCATGATGACAATCATCAAAGAACAAAATCAAAGACAGTCGGCGTCACCGAACACGTGCAGCAAGACGGAACGTTCAAAAGACTTTGCCGCGTTCCTTGTAAGTTGAACAATAGTGTCCAAGCGACTTGAGAAGGCGTGGGCGCCAGAAACCATATTTCCCCAACAAAAGGGGAATACCAAATAAAGCAGACCCATCTCCGCGCCTTGACTGGACTGCGTGATAAATACCGACAGAATTGCATTCCAGATTTCTTTGCACTGCGGATTACTTGACTGTTCAACACTACGTTTGCTTAATTGTGGATTCATGTCTGCCAAAATCGACAATAAGAGCAGTTTTTCGTGAAGAATTGAAAACTCACTTCTAGCATACAGTTGTTTTAGAACAACATGTTCCGTTCCTAATTTGTAGATACCGCACTTGACGCTCATGCCAACTGCAATTGTCGTCAGTTGGCCCTGATGAAAAATCACTACGAACCATCGCATCTTCACTGGGGGCCAAGGCTACACTCGCTGCAATTGCACAACTAAGTGCACCACAAATCGCTACAAGTGTAAAAATAACAAGCTGCTATGTAATTCTAAATGCCATAAAAGTTCAACTTGTTGTAACAAATGATAATATTGATTGATTGAGACTATAGTACAATAAAAATTTTGAATGTTTCTGTCATTTACTTTAATTAATAATCAATAAAAACTTAATTTCATGATCCTTACGGCATTAAAAACAAACAAAATCTGCTCATGATCTTCTAATTCGGACTTTGGCCGGTCGTCCCAAGCCAGATGATCTTCTAATTAAGACTTTGGCCGGTCCACCATGGCCAGTCCGCGGACTGGCCGGCCAAAGGCCGAAATCAAGAGCTATTTCAGACTTTGGCCAGTCCACCGTGGCCAGTCCGCGGATTGGCCGGCCAAAGGCCGAAATCAAGCAAAGTTTCGGACTTTGACCGACCTATGGGAGGCGATATCGGCCAATCCGCGCATTGGCCGACTTCGGGCTTTGACCGTAACACACACACACACACACACACACACACACAGACACACACACACACACACATATATATATATATATATATATATATATATATATATATATATATATATATATATATATATATATATATATATATATATATATATATATATATATATATATATATAGGGGCCTATATTATGCCGATTCTAGCCGCCTGTCGATCTGCCCAAAGCGCAACCGCTCAATCACACTATACAGTTAGTGTAAGGGGCTGGGGAGTTATTTAATTATTATTTTATTACAAAAAGGCGAATGTCACTTTTTGTGTTCCTTTGAGAGTTGTTGTGGTTTTTAGTTAAGAAGTCCGCTATTATGGCGCTGATATGATTTTTATTTTAAAATGATTGATAACCTGGTTATTGTGTCTTGCTTATATTTTGATGTTATTATTTATGCAAACTTTGTTTTGGAGTGTGGCTCCACTTTGCTTTATATCCTGAATGTAAGTTATTGTTGTATTAGGGACTATTTTCTTGTGCGTAGCATTGGTTTCTTTGTTCGTAGTATTGGTTTCTTTGTTCGTGAATGTGGGGTGTCGACAGGGAGGGACATTCTGCTGGAATGTCGAGGCCTGTGTGTTGAAGAGTTTCTGTGTCACGTTTGTGGTGTATGGTAACGTAGGGTTATTTTTATAGTGTTTTATTATGTTTTCCATATTTTTGTTTGCTTATTTTGTATACAAAGTGACTATATACTAGATCTATTTAGTCACTTCGACTTTGAGAAGTCTCAATGTTTGTTTTATCCAGACCACGTGGTAGCACGATGGCCTGGGTTTAGTCATGGATTAATGTAGATTTTACTTTCATTTATGAGAGCCTCTTGTTTAGGCTGACAATTGTGTCAACTTCTTAGTGCCTTGTATATAACTTTTTATGTAAAGTAATTAATTTATTTGTTTTCCTCTTTCTAGGACGGTGGTCCGAAATTGGGTGTTATGTTTCGTTGAGTTCTGTTTGTTTTGTATGTCCTGAGTGTTTTGTTTTGTCTAGATCTAGATTCTAGTTTTTTTATAATAATTTTGGTTCCATGAAATAAATTTTATATTATTGTTAAAGTTTTTCTGTTTTTTTTTTAATTTAGACTAAGGTTAGGGTTTAACCACTGTGGGTTCTACCACGGTTGCACTGACCGGACAGCTTAGTTAGTTAGATAAGCCTAGAAGGGTAGATTTTAGGTATCCCCCCCCCCCTAGCAGGGCTTACAAATTGGTAGCACGAGTGGGGTCAGTGCTTTAGTCTAGCTAAATTTTTGTTTTTCTGTTAGAGCTAGTGTAGCTTAGATAAATTTTTGTTTTTGATAGGCCCTTTTTGGAACCATATGTGTTTAGTTTTTTTGTGTTTAGTGTAGGGATTGTTTAAACACCCAATTCGGACGAGATGGCGGGGCACCCGATGAACATCATTATTGTGCCACCCAGAGAGGTTAAAATCCAGAGGTTCCATGGAGACAGCCATGCCTCGTTGGTGGAACGTTTCATTGAAGAGGTGCAGGTTGCATGGAGGGCGAGGAAAGACCTCTCTGCTGAAGAAAGAAAAGACCTCCTCTGGGAGCACCTTGGGGAGTCTGTTAAAGAGGAGCTCCGATGTAGGGGCAATGATCTGGAGCAGGACCCTGAGGCAACTTTAATACTCCTGAGGGACATTTACGGGGAAAAGCGTAGCATCCCCCAACTGATGGCCCAGTTTCAAAGGGTGGTGCAAAGCCCAAATGAGACAGTGAGGTCTTATTCACACCGTCTGCACCAAGCCTTTAGGTTGCTCACAGCCAGGCAAACAAACCTGCACAGGGCCCCTGTGAGTCCAGTCTTCCTGCGAGACCAGTTTGTTCAGAACCTTAACCAACCCTCTGTTAGGCGTCAGCTGGAAGAAATGGTCTTCTGTGACCAAAAGGCGTCATTTATTGTCCTGAGGGATGCGGCTATCAGGTGGGCACAGGACGAATGCCCAGGCAGAGAATCTAAGAGTGTTACAACTTTAAACACCAGGCCTGATGTGCAAACATTTGCACCTCCCACTACATCCAACCTGGAGGACAGAGTAGACAATTTGGCAGCACAAATCTCTAGTATTTCTGCTCTCGTTTCCCCAAGGGGAACGCGGTTTGCACCCGACAAGCAGAGACCGACTGTGAGGAGCAGGTCCTGCTTCAAATGTCACCAGCTGGGCCACATAGCCAGTAACTGTTATGGCAACATAATAATGTATCCCGCTTTTAATCTGTTCATCTATTTTTTTAACATTGTTCTGTTCACATGTCTGGTATCTGCATTTTTGAATTTTTATTGCTTGCAGGTACTGCAAGCTTTACAGGGGGTGAATGTAAGGGGCTGGGGAGTTATTTAATTATTATTTTATTACAAAAAGGCGAATGTCACTTTTTGTGTTCCTTTGAGAGTTGTTGTGGTTTTTAGTTAAGAAGTCCGCTATTATGGCGCTGATATGATTTTTATTTTAAAATGATTGATAACCTGGTTATTGTGTCTTGCTTATATTTTGATGTTATTATTTATGCAAACTTTGTTTTGGAGTGTGGCTCCACTTTGCTTTATATCCTGAATGTAAGTTATTGTTGTATTAGGGACTATTTTCTTGTGCGTAGCATTGGTTTCTTTGTTCGTAGTATTGGTTTCTTTGTTCGTGAATGTGGGGTGTCGACAGGGAGGGACATTCTGCTGGAATGTCGAGGCCTGTGTGTTGAAGAGTTTCTGTGTCACGTTTGTGGTGTATGGTAACGTAGGGTTATTTTTATAGTGTTTTATTATGTTTTCCATATTTTTGTTTGCTTATTTTGTATACAAAGTGACTATATACTAGATCTATTTAGTCACTTCGACTTTGAGAAGTCTCAATGTTTGTTTTATCCAGACCACGTGGTAGCACGATGGCCTGGGTTTAGTCATGGATTAATGTAGATTTTACTTTCATTTATGAGAGCCTCTTGTTTAGGCTGACAATTGTGTCAACTTCTTAGTGCCTTGTATATAACTTTTTATGTAAAGTAATTAATTTATTTGTTTTCCTCTTTCTAGGACGGTGGTCCGAAATTGGGTGTTATGTTTCGTTGAGTTCTGTTTGTTTTGTATGTCCTGAGTGTTTTGTTTTGTCTAGATCTAGATTCTAGTTTTTTTATAATAATTTTGGTTCCATGAAATAAATTTTATATTATTGTTAAAGTTTTTCTGTTTTTTTAATTTAGACTAAGGTTAGGGTTTAACCACTGTGGGTTCTACCACGGTTGCACTGACCGGACAGCTTAGTTAGTTAGATAAGCCTAGAAGGGTAGATTTTAGGTATCCCCCCCCCCCCCTAGCAGGGCTTACATTAGTTTTGAAGAAGAATAAGGCTAAAATAGTAATATGTGCCCATTGTACAGCTCTTAAGGGTAATTTCAGCCCATGTTTACCCTTTTTAAGGTCATATCGTTTTTTTTTGCGTCTTCTGCCCTCAGCTTAGGCTAAGGGGTAAAAAGCTTTTTTCGACTAGTCACAAAATAGATGTACATAGGCAAAGGTCTAAACTGAAAATAGTCATCGTTTTTCACAAAATTAACAATGTTTATATAGGGAATTCGGACCGGCCAGTTCTAAAGATCTTCCGGAGTTTTCCCGAACATATCATAGTTTTTTTTGCCACCCCTGAGGGTCGGTCTATGACATCAGGAGTTATGAATGGGCATTTTTTTTCCGATATATAGCTCATCTAAGGCGCTGGTCAGTCGAGGTCAGTTTTGACCCCCCTCCTTGTGGACTTGTTGGCAAACCGGCAACGGGCCCCGTGTTCTATCGCCCCAAGGCGGGAGCCTGCCAAATTTGAAGCATCTGCGGCGCCGGGAAGTGCCCTATCGGGCATCCGGCAACTTTGCTTTATATATATATATATATATATATATATATATATATATATATATATATATATATATATGTATATATATATATATATATATGTATATATATATATGTATATATATATATGTATATATATATATGTATATATATATATATATATATATATATATATATATATATATATATATATATTATATATATATATATATATATATATATAATGTAAAGAAAATTATATATTTTCTACTTTTTAGTGCATTATTACATAAAGGCTTGTTATTGAAACGGTTTTTATGAATTTTTTACAAACCAAGAAGTCAGCTCCACTACATCCAGTGTCAAACAAAAAGAAAAGAACCCAGTTATGTCAAGTATTGAACAGATGGACGATGAAAATTTTGCCAAAAAACTTCAAGAAGAAGAAACAGGCCTGAGAAGAAGGTAGAGCTGCTGCTCCAAAACCAAGAAGAAGAAACAAGCCAAGGCCGGACACTATGAAGACTTTGTGGTCTATAGTGAAGGAGAGGCATCTTCAGGATCCCGATTCCTAATAACAAGCAATTTATGTTGTGTGACGAACAGATGGAAAATCTGTTTGGGTCAAAGAGAATAGAGTTGTTTGCAATATTGAATGATTTAAAGAGACATGTAACTGATATTCCTCGTTAAAGTTTTGTCTATTTGATATTTTTAAATGTTTGATTAGAAACACCATGTATACATTGCACTAGCAGTTGTAAAAACAGAGATTGTTTATAAGAATATACATTTTTGCTATCAAAACACTGTTGAGTAAATGGTTTTTGTTCTGTGAAAGCATTAAACAACCTGTTTTTATTAGACACCCCCCCCCCCCGCTTATATTATAGATATACCAGAAAGTTTAGGGGAGATCACTCCGGCTTAAATACCTTCAATTTAATGTAGTATAGAGCGGTTTTGTCGCACACTTCTATATTTCTATAGCCTGATTGTACTGGAAGTGTCATTCCAACCTTATAACGTATAAGAGTTTAAGAGAAAGTTTAGGGTAGATTACTCTCGCTGTAGAGCACTTTGAGGAGATTTAAAACCATCCTCTCTCAACCATCCCTGATATACCACGTGCAAATCAGCTATTAAATGTAAGTGCAGATCCACCTACAAAGCTAGAAATAATAAGAGAAATAAAGAACATGAAAATGGCAAAGCAGCTGGCCCGGACGGCATCCCCCCCCCCCCCCAAGAGGCACTCAAAGCAGACCCAGCCATATCAGCAGACATATTGCATCCTCTAGTTAAAAAGATTTGGGAAGATGAGATAATCCCATCTGACTGGAAACTGGGCTACCTGATAAAACTGCCAAAGAAGGGAGACCTGACACAATGCAACAACTGGAGAGGGATAATGCTTCTTTCAGTCCCAAGTAAGGTGCTGACAAGAATCATCCTAGTGAGACTTAAAGATGCCTTGGAAAAAAAGCTGAGACAAGAACAAGCTGGTTTTTGTCAAGACAGTTCATGTACTGACCACATTGCCACGCTGCACATCATTATTGAACAGTCCCTTGAGTGGCAATCCCCATATACATGACTCTTGTCGACTTCAAAAAGGCGTTTGACAGTGTGAATAGAGATGTTATCTGGAAGCTAATGAGCCAATGTGGAATACCCAAAAAATTTATATCTATCGCCAATGATATTCTTGATGGTAATCGACTAGATCATGCTGAAAACCACAAAAACGACACAGGAATCCGGTGGAGTTTCACCAAAAGGCTGGAAGATAAAGATTTTGCCGATGACATCTGCCTACTTCCTCACAAGCATCAACATGCACAAGCCAAACTGAATCGGCTATGTGAAGAAGCCTCTAAAGTTGGATTAAAAATCAATAAAAATAAAACAGGTCATCAGAATCAATAATAGCCAGGACCTGCCCATACAGCTAAATGGAGAAGATTTACAAGAAACAAACACATTCACGTATCTGGGAAGCGTGTTAAAAAACCGGGAGTGATCTCCCCTAAACTTTCTCGAATATTTTTATATAAAATAACAGGGGATGGAAACTCGGGCTATAGAAATGATTTTTAATCCATTTTAAATACTTAAAGTTTTAAAAATAGAATAAAATCTCGTAGACAAAAGAATTGCACACCAAGTGAACGCTAAATAAACAAGGTAATTAAAAAGTCTAGTGACAATTTTAGCGCAATTTCCTTATGTTATCTAAAAATAGCTCTGTCGTAGCGTAAATCAAGAGCAGGGTTAGTAAAACCATTGGTTAGTTATTAAAACGTTTTTTATTAATTTTTTTCAGTATTTTACATGTTTTATTTACAATAGAGTTACATGACTAAAAACCATTGCGCGCCTACTGAACGTGATGGCGCAGCCATGGAACGCGATGGCGCAGCTATTGAACGTGATGACGCGTGTGGTGTGGTTGGAAAAAATGCCTACTAATTCGGTCCAACTTTTAATTAATTCAAATTTTTTTTTGTGACCGAACGAAAGGATATTTTTGAAAACTTTCTTCGGCAATATTGTTCTAAATTATGGCAGGAATCGATTGGTGCATGTTTCAAGTCGCTTAGTGATCTGGTTGCCGAGATATGGGCCAAAAACTGCATTTTTTTCGAGGTTTTTTGGCTTTTTCGGGAAATCCATGAAAGAAACCCGTAATTTTTATGACCTATGTTCATCCTCGTAACTTGCTTAACATAATTGCTTTTGGAACTAGTCATCGATATTGCTTCGTTGAGGAGGAGATACGACTTAAAGCCCGGACAAACATTCATCCATACATCCATACATTCATTCATCCATCCATTCCCAGAAATGACGAGTTAATAAACGCAATTCTCCAGAATGGAAATTGCGCTAAAAAGTGCATAATAGTGCGCAATATTATTAGTACTTTAAAAATTTACATTAGTTTTTTTGAGAAATCGGAAGTAGCGTAAATTAGTACTTCCGGTCAACGGAAATGACTCAAAATTTAACAGAAGGTAGAGAATTAAGATCTTTTACTTACATGTGAAATTTCGTTTATCTATCTGAAATAGTACTCAAGTTATGGGCTTTTGAAAATTTCAAAGTAGGAAAAGTACCACTTCCGGTTATTGGAAATCGCTCAAAAGTTGATACGGATCTACGATTTTGATAAAATACTTATATATGAAATTTCATCAACCTAGCTGTAACGGTACTCAAGTTAGCGTGTTTACACACACACAGACAGACAGACACACAGACATACACACACATACGGACAAGATTGCAAAATTATGTTTTTCAGTATCAGTGAGATGTAAAAATCTCGATTTTTTTTTTGCACGATTACAAGACTTTCTCTATAGGCCTACTTCGTATATACGAGAAAGTAAAAAGGACGGGGGAGCAGACAAGGACGTAAAATACCGTATCAACAAGGCTAGATGTGCCTTCAACTCACTGCGCCCGATGTGGAGGTGCACGGCAGTCACTCAGGGGCAAAATTGGGATTTTCAACACAAATGTCAAGGCAGTATTGCTCTATGGCACAGAGACTTGGAGGGTTACAACTGCAAATAACGATAGGCTACAGTCGTTCACAAATAAATGCTTACGACATATACTTAAAATAAGATGGCCAGACAAAATATCAAACAAAGACCTGTGGCAAATTTCAAAACAACAGCCAATAGTTAAGGAAATCAAGGCCCGTAAATGTGGATGGATTGGAGAAAAAGATAATATTGCAAAAAATGCTATGGACTGGTGTTGAGCTAGTAGTTTAGAGCTCAGTGTCCTGGTAGTGTTCCAGGTAATTTTTAAAGTATGTTCTGTGTGAACTACCTGCAGGCTGTTGAGATGTAATCCAGCCAGCCTGTGGTTAATGCTTTGTACATAATTTTTTTTGTAAAGTAATTAATTTATTTGTTTTCCTTTTTCTAGGACGTAGTCCGAAATTGGGTGTTTTGTTTGGTTTTGTTTGGTTCTGTTTGGTTCTGTTTTGTTGCACATATCTTTGTCCTGTTGTGTTGGATATAAATTGTTTTGTCTGTTTTGTGCCAGCAGTTTTTATCTATTCTTTTTTTGTGATTTTTCATTGGTTCCATATTTTTGGTAAATAAATTTTATTAATTGTTAAAGATTTTTTTTTGTTTTTATTATTTAGACTAAGGTTAGGTTATTAACCAGTCTGGGTTTAGCCGGGCTTGCACTGACCGGACGGTAATAGATAAGCCTAGTAGATAGATTTTAAGGTATCCCCCCCCCCCCTAGCAGGGCTTACAAATTGGTAGCACGAGTGGGACTACACAACTAAAAA